TTTGGATGTAAATACCCTCAAATTAAAGCTGACAGTCTGCAGTTAAAGCACATGTTGCTTGTTTCATTTCAAATCCACTGTGGTGGTGTATAGAGCCAAAAATGTTAGAATTGTGTCCATGTCCCAATATTTATGGACCTGACTGTATATGTATATAGAAAAAAAAAATTAATACATGGGAACAATCTCTTTCAGAATGAACTGAATTAGAAAACCATCCATCCTTTATATTGGTGCATCCTAATCTGACTGTTAACTATTGCAAGGTTTAAGAGGTGACTGAATGAGTTGTCTGCTTTACCCATAGGATCGAAAGCTAATGCAGAAATCTCATTTACATAGACAATGATAGAACAGTACTTCTATCTTTTGGACTTCTTATGTGCATTTCATGGATCCCAGAGGCCCCCACTAGCGACCATAACTGTGCCTGCACATTCTGCCTGATAACATATCCACAGACTTGTTACTCTTCCCTCATTCTACAGTCACTTTAATCTTCATGTCTTACAGCAGGCACACAGCTGACTGAAGACTCTGCAGATAGATCTCCTGCTGTTCTCTCTTAAGGACTCCAGCTTGGCAGACAGCCGCTTATTTACATCATTTTCGGAGCTTTGGAAATTAGTCTTTTATTTTCAGCATTTTTCCATTTAAACATTATACTTTCCTAAAACCAGTTAAATGGTGTTGTTGCTGGTAATTTTTAGTTGCTTCATGAAATTTTCCTGACTTGATAAATATATTTATAAAAATAACTTGGTTTAACCTTACACTTTTAAAAGTTATTTTAGCTTAACTGGGTCATACTGATATGGCGATTTGGCCAAGCTGACATACAGTATACTGACATGACCTATGTCATTGTTATCGATTATTATTGTCACATACCTGATGAAGGGGTCCTGCGAGACTCTGAAACGTTGCTTTGCTGTAACTATGTGATTGTTCATTAAAACTTTTGGACCCATATTGGTGATCCTCGGTGTGCTGGTGACATTCTGCCTTGCTGATTCTGTTCGGTTCCAGCTGACGGTCGCTGCAGCACCCACTTATACACGCAGCCATTTTTAAAGCAGGATTGTGTACTTGTGTTATCAATTATTAGCCATTGTAGCAGACAACTACATTTGTTTCCACCACTGGCTGGTAATCTTTGGCATGGGGTTTCCATTCTGAAGACAAGGTATCCATCCCCTACCTAAACACGTAATCTAAAATAAAAGCCTTAAAGTGGAACTTCACTCGCTCAATCAACATGGACTATTTTATATTTCAATATTTTTATTGAGAGGTTTCAGTATAAATACAGGGTACGATAATCAAACATGGTACGAAATACAGTTCACAGTCAGATATAGTGATACATTTGTGTGAAGTAAATTCCCCACCATTTGGCTGGGGATTTTATATATCTGAGCTGCATTGACCTGAGAGGTATGCTCGGTTAGGTGTGAACCGTATAAGGGTGATGATCTTATATAGGAAGGAAAATGAACATGGATAAGAGGAGGGGGCGGGGTGAAAAGGGGGGAGGGAGGGAAGGGGGGGACGCACCAGTCGTGGGTCAAGAATCTAATTGTTATAGAGTTAGTTTATCGGTATTTAACGATGCAGTTTGGGTTTTGTAGCCATCGAGACCATTGGTGTTTGAACTTGTGGTAGGAAGTATTATTGAGGGCTGTTCTTCTTTCCATATCGCATTGGAAGTTAAGGTCTGAGATAAGTGAGGAAAGGGAGGGAATTTTGGTAGAGTTCCATAATTTAGTAAGGTTGGTTTTAGCAGTTGCCAGTGTATGAATAATAATAGTGCGAGAATCCGTGAGGAATTTGTTGATTCCTATGAGGAGGAGAGCCAGGACAGGGTTTGGTGTTATTGCGGTGTCAGTTATTGTTGAGAGCAGTTGGAAAACACTGTTCCAATAGGATCTGAGGGATTTACATGCCCAAAGTATATGGAGAATTGATCCTGTTTCTCCACATTGTCTCCAGCAGGCGGATGAGCATTGAGGGTAGTATAAAGAGAGTTTGGTTGGGGTTAGGTACCATTGGTGCAAAATTTTCATGTATGATTCCCAGTGGGAGCTACAACAGGATGCTTTATGAGTGATGTTAAAGGTCTATTCCCATGTGTATGGAAGTATTGATTGTGCGAGAAGTTTCTCCCAACTGGATAGAGAGGAAGTCTGTAGGGAAAATTGTGCATTGGTTATATATGCATAAAAGTTTGAGATCCCTTTTTTTGGGTATTGCATTTTGTTTAAAGGGGATTTTCAAGAAATGTGGTATGTTTACCTTTTGTAAGGAGTGAGCTATTCTCAAGTAGGTGAAATGCTCTTTGGCAGGGAGGTTAAATTTTTCATGAAGGGTCAAGAAGGAATCTAAGTGGTGGGTTGTTTGGAGGTCTTGTATAGAAGATATGCCTCAGTCTTCCCATTGCAGTAGGTGTAAGGATGGGGTGATGAGATGTAGTGTTGTAATTGGAGTAAGTATTTGTTTGGTTTCTATCGAGTTAGGAGTAAGTCGTACCAGGCTTGTACGTTGGCTTGGATACAAGGGTGCTTGAGATGAATTTTGGATTGAGGAGTTTATGGTAATAACAGCAGGTCATGTGGAGCGAGTTGGGAGTGTGAAAGCGTTTCCATGGTGGACCATGTTTTTTCCGTAGTTGGGTGCCACCAGTAATAGAGGTGGCCCAGTAAAGTGACATTGTAATATGATTTTAAGTGTGGGAGACCTGCTCCTCCTCTGGACGTAGGGTGTATTAATAGGTTTGTAGTACATCTGGTTTTCTTTGCATTCCAGAGAAATTTAGTCAGTATCGCCTGTAATTTGGTAAAAAAGGTATTAGGAATGGGAATGGGAAGTGTGCGAAATATATAAAGGATTTTGGGTAGTATATTCATTTTCAGGGTTACTACTCCTCCCAATTTTGAGAGTGTTGATGTACGGAGATTATTAAGTTCTCTTGGGATGGATTCGAGCAATAGTTTGTGGTTTGAAGTATAAAGCTGATCTGTTGTGGTAGTAAGTTTGATTCCTAGGTATGGAATGCTGTGATGTTTCCAAGAAAAGGGGAATTGTTTGGTTAATATTTTTTGATTCTTAGTAGATGTGTCAAGGTTTAGAATAGAAGATTTCGGTTCATTAAGTTTGTAGTATGATATTTCCGAATAATTGCGGAGATGTTCACGAATCGATTGAAGCGATTTGACTAGGTTAGTTATCATTAGTATGATATCGTCTGCAAACAGACTAATTTTGTGTTCAGTTTTAAGGTGTGTAATACCTGTAAAGGTGGGATCGTCTCTGAGTTTTGAAGCTAAGGGTTTGATGAGTAACGTAAAGATTATGGGGGATAAGGGGCAGCCTTGTCTAGTACAGTTGGAAATGTCAAAAGTATGTGAGAGTGTGCCATTTGTTAATACTCTAGCAGAAGGGTTGGAGTATAGGGAGCGGATTGCAGAAAGCATCCAATCTGTAATTCCAAATTTTTGAAGTGTTAGCTGCATAAATTGCCAATGTATTCGATCGAATGCTTTTTCTGCATCTAGGGATAGGAATAGAGAGGGTTGTTTAGAGGTTTCTAAATTGTGGATGAGGGAAATGAGTCTTCTGGTTGCGTCTGGTGCTTGGCGACCAGGGATAAATCCTACTTGGTCCGGATAGACTAATGTGGGAAGGTAGGTAAGTAGTTGTCAGGGATGCGGGTGTGACCAGAAGTGTGTGGACTGACACAGGGAAAAGTAGGCTTCAGATATAGTAAATAATATAATTTATTGAGACTAACAATACAAATATAAACGCAGTGCACCAAACCCCAAGCTAACACAAATACATACAACAAGGTGAAACAAACCCAAACATAAACTGATATAGATACACAGGTACATACACATATAGAGCACAACGTAGTCAGGCAGGCCGGGTCGATAACTATCGGGCAGGTAGGTACAGGAGGAGCAGGCGGAGAGAATGGTCAGGGTCACAAGCCAGGGATCAAACAGGAGAAGTCAGCAGAGGTCAGGATCAGGCAGGGTCGGCAACAAGTCAGGCAGGAACAGGAATGCAGGTTACAAGGTACAGGGGCCCATGGAAAAACACACACCAAGGCACAGACTGCAGGTCTGGCCATCCCTTAAATACACCACCTGCAATCAGCCCCAGGTGATGGCTAATTGCCGAAGTGAACCTCTGGTTGTTGAGAGCACCCGCTGGCCAGCCCTGGTACTGCAGCCCACAAGGCAGGTGAGTCCCACCACTATTGGCAAGTTCATTCCTGACAGTACCCCCCCTCAAGGAGCGGCCTCAGAACGCTCCAAACAGTCTTAGCTGGGCAAAATGTTCCACCGCCCGGGTCCGGTGACTGGCGGGATATCAAAGACTGGCATATCGGGCTGGGCATCGGACGGAGGCACTTCGGGCTGGACACCGGACGGAGGCACTTCGAGCTGGACACCGGAGGGAGGCACTTCGGGCTGGACACCGGACGGAGGCACTTCGGGCTGGACACCGGACGGAGGCACTTCGGGCTGGGCACCGGACGGAGGCACATCAGGCTGGACGCCGGATCACCAGGCGGAGCAGCGGGCACCGTTCCACCAGGCAGGGCGGTGGGCACCGGGCCCCCAGGCAGAGCGGCAGGCACCAGGCAACCAGGCAGGGCAGCAGGCACCGGGTAACGAGGCAGGGCGGCAGGCACCGGGCCACCAGGCGGGGCAGCGGGCAACCAGGCAGGGCGGCAGGCAGTGGGCAACCAGGCTGGGCGGCATGCACCGGGCCCCCAGGCGGAGCGGCGGACACCAGCTCCCAGGTGGAGCTGCAGGCACCGGGCAACCAGGCAGGGCGGCAGGCACCGGGCAACCAGGCAGGGCGGCAGGCACCGGGCAACCAGGCAGGGCGGCGGGCACCGGGCCCCCAGGCAGAGAGGCGGGCACCGGGCCCCCAGGCGGAGCAGCGGGCACCGGGCAACCAGGCAGGGCAGCAGGCACCGGGCAACCAGGCAGGGCAGCAGGCACCGGGCAACCAGGCAGGGCGGCAGACACCGGGCAAACCAGGCAGGGCGGCAGGCACCGGGCCCCCAGATGGAGCGGCGGGCACCGGGCCATCTGGCTCGACAGCGGGCATCGGGTCACCAGGTACAACAGCAGGCACCGGGTCATCAGACATTGGATCGTCTTGCTTGACCGCGGGCACCAGGTCATCTGGCTCAACAGCGGGCATCGGGTCACCAGGCACGACAGCGGGCATTGGGTCAACAGGCATCAGGTCATCTGGCTCGACAGCGGGCACCGAGTCATCTGGCAAGGCAGTGGGCACCGAGTCACCAGGCGTGACAGCTGGCTCTGAGTCAACTGGCGGAACAGCGGGCATCGAGTCGTCTGGCAAGACTGCGGGCACCGAGTCATCTGGCAAGACTGCGGGCACCGAGTCGTCTGGCAAGACTGCGTGCACCGAGTCATCTGGCGGAACAGCGGGCATCGAGTTGTCTGGCAAGACTGCGGGCACCGAGTCGTCTGGCAAGACTGCGGGCACTGAGTCGTCTGGCATAATAGGATCATCAGGCTGGATCAGTTCATCAGGCTGGGTAGAGACATCATGCTGGGTAAGGACATCCTGCTGGGTAAGGACATCAGGCTGGGTAAGGGCATCAGGCTGGGTAGAGACATCAGGCTGAATAGAGACATCATGCTGGGTAGAGACATCATGCTGGGTAAAGACATCAGGCTGGGTAGAGACATCAGGCTGAATTGTGGGCGCCGAGGCACCAGGCTGCACCACAGAAGGTGGGTTCTCAGATGGCAGGCTGACCGGTTTGGATACTGGCAGGATGGTATTGGTTGGAAAGAATTTTCGCCTTTTCCTGGTTTTAGTTACCGAAGCACTGTAAGTAAGCGCAGGTTTGTAAACGGATGGAGCAGCTGAGGACAGAGAAGAGCTGGAGGATGGAGCAGTTGCTACAGAGGACTTCTTTACAGGGTTAAAGAAAAGAGTGGGAGCAGAGGACTGATATGTGGTAGTTAGCAGAGTATACTGGGCCGTCACTGGGGGTGCTATCGGGGATGCAGGAAGAGTGCCTTGAGTGGAGGAATGATGTTGTAAGCTGACTGAGGCTGGGTGCAACAAGTCTGACCATGTCTGCAGTATGGGTTGAACAAAGCTTAGCTTACACAAAGCCTGTCTGGTCAAAGACTGCACTGCGTTTATACAATCTCTTAGTACCTGTGGTGAACATGCAGAATAACGCTCCAGAAAGTAATCCACATCATCCTCTAATAACCATACCAGGGACTCTACCTGGTCGGCACTAAATGGCGGCAAAAATTCATCCCTGCATTCGGGGGTACCAGATGAAACCAACTCAGCACAAACCTGAATCAATGGCTGCACCTCAGAGAATTCTGTGCCCTGATCTACTAGGCAATGAACAATCCTTATGCACTCTAGTAGTTGATCCCTGGGATACTCCTTCAGAGTCTGATAAGCATAATCCCTATCATCAAACACTAGCAGACATAAATACACCACCTCATCAAGATCCATCCTTCCCAACAGCAATAAGTCAAGATGGCTTCCCTGTGCAGCCACTTCTGGTCAGGATTGGCCTTGGTGTAATGTCAGGGATGCGGGTGTGACCAGAAGTGTGTGGACTGACACAGGGAAACGTAGGCTTCAGATATAGTAAATAATATAATTTATTGAGACTAACAATACAAATATAAACGCAGTGCACCAAACCCCAAGCTAACACAAATACATACAAAAGGTGAAACAAACCTAAACTGATATAGATACACAGGTACATACACATATAGAGCACAATGTAGTCAGGCAGGCCGGGTCGATAACTATCAGGCAGGTAGGTACAGGAGGAGCAGGCGAAATGGTCAGGGTCACAAGCCAGGGATCAAACAGGACAAGTCAGCAGAGGTCAGGATCAGGCAGGGTCGGCAACAAGTCAGGCAGGAACAGGAACAGGAATGCAGGTTACAAGGTACAGGGGCTCATGGAAAAACACACACCAAGGCACAGACTGTAGGTCTGGCCATCCCTTAAATACACCACCTGCAATCAGCCCCAGGTGATGGCTAATTGCCGAAGTGAACCTCTGGTTGTTGAGAGCACCCGCTGGCCAGCCCTGGTACTGCAGCCCACAAGGCAGGTGAGTCCCACCACTATTGGCAAGTCCATTCCTGACAGTAGTCTTTGTGCTATAATTTTTGCATAGAGTTTTATGTCCGTCTTTAGTAAGGAAATTGGTCTGTAGTTCTGGACAAGTTGGGGGTCCTTGCCTGGTTTTGGAATGGTGGTAATTATGGATTGTAGCATTTCGTTGGGGAATTCACCTGTAGAGGCGGCATGGTTGAAGAGAACGGTGAGATGTGGTGTAAGATCAGGGGCAAATATTTTGTAGAATTCGTTATTAAAGCCAGCATTCCCTGGAGATTTATTCAGAGGTAAAATTTTTATGTTTTTGGCTATTTCTGCGGAAGAAATGGGGGTAGAGATAGAAGTGAGCTGTGATGGGGTAAGTTGTGGGAGATTTGTGGTATTTAGAAACTTTTGTATGGATATTGTTGTTGGTTGGGATGTATCTGGGTCATCTTTAATATTATATAGTGTTTGGTAGTATGTTGCAAAAACGTTGGCTATGTCTTGCAGGTTTGTGAGAGATGTATGAGTAGTTGGGTGTTGGATTAAGAGTAGTTTGGATTTGAGACATCTTTGTTTAATTAGTTTTGTTAACAGTGAATTTGCCCTGTTGCCTAGAGAGTAGAATTGTGCTTTCGTTTTTTGAAGGTTAAGGTCATATTTGTACAGTAGAAGGGTTCAGAGTTTGTTTCTGTCTGAGGTTAGTGACTCGTGTGTGGAGAGGTTTGGTTTTTTTTTATTGATTTATTCTTTTAGTTTTATGGATGCTAGAAGTTGGTCAATTTTCTGGGTTCTTTGTTTATTGATGCGAGAATTAAGTTGTATGAGGATACCTCTCATGTATGCTTTGTAAATGGACCATAATGTTGTTATAGAGGTGGGTGGTGTTAAATTCAAAAAATACTTTGTGAGCTTCTAGCAAGTGTTTTTGGTTGTCTGGATTCTTCAATATCAAGGAATTCAGTCTCCAAATTCGGGGGATTGACGAATGTCGCTTGTCGTCCAGGGTTATGTTGATTGGAGCGCGATCAGACCAGGTTATGGTGACAATTTTGGATGATGTTACATGTTGTAGCGTCCATTTATCCGTAATAAAGAAGTCGATTCTGGAGTAGGATAGGTGAGATGGGGAGTAGTAGGTGTAGTCTCTTTCGGTGCTGTGGTGGCATCTCCAGATGTCATATAGATCATGGTCATGTAGGAAACGATTAAAGTTATGTTTTGGGGAGCGTTTGTTGGTGGAAGAATCCAGGAGTGGGTTGCCGATTATGTTGAAGTCTCCACCAATGAGAAGTCTGTCTTGTTTGTGAGAAGAGATGGTGGAAAGGAGTTTGTGGTAGAATTGCAATTGGTTATTGTTGGGTCCATAAACATTTACTAGGATATATGGTATATCGTTGACTTTGCAGATTAAGATATGGTAGCGCCCTTGAGAGTCTGCTATTTCTGAGATGTGATGGAATTGTATAGAGTCTTTTACAGCTGTAATGACTCCATTTTTTTCTTGGAGTTAGTAGCCATATAAATGTGGGAGAATCGGTGCAGTTGTAGTTTAGGGGTCCTGATGGTTGCGAAATGTGTTTCTTGTATGAAGAGTATATCAGCATGAAGTATACGGGCTTCCTTTTGGAGCATGGACCTTATAAAGCGGGAGTTTAGACCCCGAACATTAAGTGATGTTATGTCAATCATTTTTTTGTCCGCTGGTTGGGTTGGTGGAGTAGAGGAGTAGAGGAGTCGTTTCTGGGCGTATTGACATGAGTTGGAAAGACTTGATAGGACAGGAGAGATTTCTATGCGTTTGGTAGAGTGGTATGGGTTCGCTCGATACTGCGTGTGATATATTCCATGTTGTTTGGTTGGTTTCAGGAGGACAGTTGGTTCGGATGATCGACTGATGGTGAAGGGGGGGGGGGGGGGGGTGGAAGTAAAAAAAAGACTTGCAGAAAATGCAAGCAACATGAGTAACAGGGAGTGCTCCTTCAAAACAGAGGGGTATGAACAAGCATAGACCACAGGAAGGGTCATGCCAAGCAGTGTCTCGTAACGTGAGAATATTTTGTAAAGGGCCGTTGCCAGAGAATAGTATGTTGAGGTATAGCGTCCGAGGTGGTCAGGTTCACTTGGTGGGGCTCAGCGGGAATTATGTTCCTTGTCTTCAATAGGTCGATGCCTGCCTCTAAGGTTTTTTGATTGTATGTATTCTGCCCTGGTGTCTGACGGTCAATTTTGTGGGAAACCCCATTGATAGCCTATTCCGTGGTTTCGTTACAATCTGATGTTTGCGTGTGCTGGTGGGAGGGGGGGGGGGGGGGGGTTTGGCTGCTGTCATTATTTTTTCTTTTATATGGTAGAAGCGGATGTGAGCCAGAACATCTCTGGAGATTGACGCTGATAGGAATGCGGGTTTGGGTATTCTATGTGCTCGATCTATGGCGAGCTCCATATTTGAGAGAGATGGGATGAGGTGTCATGTATTGTTGAAAATATGATAGTAGTGTATCGTTGGCGATATTTTCAGGGATGCCTCTGAATTTTATGTTGTTGCGTCTTGAGCGATCTTCCAGATCCGCTAGTTTCAGGTCAATTTCAGAAGTATGGTCATCATGTGCATCAATTAAATCGTTATGCGCTGTAATTATGTCTCCCATTCTTGTTTCAATATGGCGTAATCTGTGTTCTTGTTGCTGAACCATGTTTGAGATCTGGGATAGTGAAACTGTGATATCGTTATACAGTGTTTGTCGTAGGGATAATAGCATGTTCTTCATGCAGATTTCTGTGATAGGCTGTTCTGAGGCAGGGAAAGATTCTATCAGAGAAGGTTCTGCGATGTGCTGAGGTGATGGCTGAATGAGAGGCTGACAGGCAGATAGTGAATCTTAATATAGATGGGGTCTACATTTGGCTGGGCTGCTTGTGGTGGGTGACAGGAGGGGAGATGACTCACCTGGGTCCCCAGGGTATAGTGGAGAGCGGAGTCTGATGTACAGCTGCTGGGATCTGCTGTCTCCCTCATGGCTGCTGTGTCCTGTGTCCGTGCAGCCGGCGCCATCTTGGATTCCTGCTGTGACAGCAGGGAAGAATTGTGTTAGTCTCCCTAGCTGTCCAGGAGTTTTGCGGCGGTGAGACATGGCACAGAGGGTTGTACACC